CAATCAACGTGTCCACCAATGCGTTTTAAGCCAGCTGAAAAATGCCAGGTGCTCTTCTGAAAACGGCCAGCTGGTGGCGCTTGAGAAAGCTTTGGTGGCACAGCATTTTTCCAGATGACGATTTTGGTTGGATGTGGAATATCCACGGCAGTAACGTTTTACTAGTATCACATTTTGAAGAATATTACTGAATATAAAATGCAGTATTTTATAAAGCAATATAACCAGTAATAACGTCTCCATTGTTGTTCAGTCGTTGTACTAGTAGGATGGTTGATCGGTGTAGCATTTGTCCCGCCCCTCCTCCAATGATTGGACGGCTGAGTAAAAAGTGACAGTGTCTGTCGAGCGCTGCGTTTTACCCAAAGTTGAACAGTTTTCAACTCTCAGCTACAAAAAACAAAAAGACATGATGGCAGTGCATAAAAATTCAGTGTCATCAGTTTGCCAAAAAGCACACAGAACGTTTTATGCACCATGAACACATGGTAAGGTGCAAAGTTTAACAGTTTTCAACTCTCATCTACAAAAAACAAAAAGACAGCGCAAATGAACTTATAAAATATTATGATGGCAGTGCATAAAAATTCAGTGTCATCAGTTTGCCAAAAAGCACACAGAATGTTTTATGCACCGTGAACACATGGTAAGGAGCAGGTGTACAGAAAATACGAACATTTGCATGAATTCGAAGTTTACGTCACAATGACTTTATGAACGATTAACACAAAAGTCATTCTGATCGTGTTTCATGAATGAGACCCATAGTGTAAGTAATATATAGCTCGGCAAAATGCAGATTCGAACCCGGGTCGATCGCGTCAAATGAATGAAATGCGTCTTTTTAAAATCTTGTTTTAACCAGACATTGGTGGGTGGAGCTAATGTAAATAGCGCTTGCCAACAAGTGTGCTATTTGCACTTAATGTAAAGCCCCACAAATACAACAATGAGTTAATTCAGTGAAAGATTGATCAAACTGAATCATTAAAAGAAGCTGCTTAAATTATTCATTTGTGAATCAGAGAGCACTTGATTGTTTTTGATAGGACAGATGTGTGCAGTGTTTTTATCTCATCAAATTCAGACTGCAAACTTACATTCACAAATCAGGACAATATGGCTTTTTTGTGGTGCTAGAGATTCAGCGTCACAGTTAACATTGATATAATCGTGACAGCAACTGTACTCAAACATTTACAATACTGCCCATCTCTAATTAACATTAGCATA